TATGATACATTTGGCATTAAAGGGTTAAAGCAAGTTACCAGAGCTGAACCCTCCTCCCCCATTTCCATTTCTTGAACACACCAATATTTCTGTGAGCACAATTTAATTACATGTCTGAAATCTGTAGGATCTGGAACATTAAACTCATCAAGAAAGAAAAAAAATCACAAATCCAGTTTTTATGGAAGAGTAAGTTGCTGTGTCCTGATTCAATATAGCTGCTGGAAATTGGTCCGATATCAGCCGAAAAAAGAACACTAGAATAAATCGATATCCCTCTATATCTCCTAATCGAAAGTTAATCAAAACATTTTTTTTGTGCGCTTTTGTTTAAAATTTCTGCAACTCTTTGGTGAATAACAAATGAGTAGGTTGTTCTCATACCTTATGCTGTTAAGATGGGTTCTCTGTTTGGGAAATAACACTTGATCAAGCTTTTTCTATCAATCCACAATATAAAATGCATAATAAAAGTATGTATGACGAATGTTGATATATCAGGTCAGTATCAGTAAATACTTAAAGGTATAGTGGAGGATTTTCACAAATTTTTGAAAAGTCTCGCCCTATCCACTTTGAAAAAAAAAAAAAAATTCACATGCACAACCCTGTACCCACGCTCGAGAGGGAATGCTTATTAAGCCCGTGAGAGAGCGTGCACGAGCCCATTGCTTCTCTTGCACGCTCTGTTTAAAAGTTGCTGTTTGCATCGCTCATACAAGCTTACTTTCCAAAAGATTTGCAGTTTTTCCGCTATGTAAGACTCGCCACCGGTAAGTGAAAATGGCGACGAGCACGTAGGACGGCCTTACGTAAACATATCATTAGAATGACTGACAGTTAGGAGGACCACTTATTTTGGTGATCCAACCAGAAAAAGAACACCCACCACTAGACCTTTAAAGCTGCAATATCCATATCAGACATCCCTTGGAGTCAGCTTAAGAAGGCCTTACCAAAACATGTACTGGATGTTTTTGTTCTTTACAAACAGGGGAACAGGCCAAAGAGTAAAAAAAAAAAAACATTGCATTTATTTGAAAAGATTCTGGGAAGATATCAATCCTTTTTCTTTAAATTATCTTAATGCTGCCACTTCCTGATTGATCTGTCTCACTACTTGAAATCCTTGCCAAATACATTTCTACTTGTAGCTTGACTTAATGAGAAATACTTTAATGCTCTTTCAAGTTGCTCTGTATTTTCTTTTTTTGTTGTTTTTTTGCAGGTTTTAGAAGCTGCATTTCTATTTTTTTTCATCTGTTGCTTCTTGTTTTGTTTTTCCAACAACACAGGGAGAGTCTTTGAGCAGCCCTGGAGACGGTAAAGGTGTGAAGTCTCTAGTCAACAAAATGACCTTTGCTCTCAAGTCCAAGTCGGTGAACGTAAAAGAGAAAATGATAAGCTTCATCGAGAACACGTCTGCACCTGTAGACAAGTAGGCCGCTTATTCTCTCTTCTTCATTAACTATGTTTGTAACGCACTCTAACTATTTTAATGAATCTTGAAACCTGACTAAACACTTAATTCTGTTTAATAAGAATTAATTATCACTGCTTTTGACATTAGTTGAATGTGTCAGTGGGGGTTTTGTAGTTTTGTTGTCACTTTAATTTAAAGTCCCTGTGCCTTATTTTACACTAGAATATCTTTCAATCTGCCTTGGCCAGAGAAGGTGATCCCAGATCGGTAAGAGCTCCCAAATATCCAGCTGTGTGTCCCGAGCATGCCCACTGGCTCTAGAAGCACACCTGTCCCCTGAGACACATCCAAGCATGCCTAGTGCCAACATCTCTGCTCACTCTGCTCACTCATAACATAAGCTAACACTGCAGTGAGGGCCAGCTCTGTAAGGATCTGTTCTTCATGCTTTCACTAACATTAACAGAAGCTGCAGCAGAGTATCTGATCACCATAACGTCATGTCTTACTGACTCTTTTCTTTCTCAGAGAGGCTGAGGCATTTCAGGGTCTGCTTCAGCTGTTGGCTTCTACATGAAACTCCTAATAGTGCATCTCGGTTTATTACAGTAATGCTGGAAAGTTCATTTATTTGAGTAATTCTGTTCAAAAAGTTAAATATTTAGAGCATTTATTTCTGTTGATCTGGTTATTAAAGTATTGGGAAGTCATATTTAAATGTCAAAATTCATTCTGGCTTAAACATGTATATAAATGTACTCTTTATCAGACGATATTGTCTCAAAATTTAGAAAATTTCTACTTAAAAAAAAAAAAAAATCCTGTCTCAAAATCTTTAAAATTAAAAATAAATTTTTAAAAAATTTTTCTGTTATCTTATGCAGGCCAGTTTATTATACGTCAGCCCGAACGCCTAAATCCGGCCAATCATATATCTACGGTCATCTGTCAATCAAAATTTTTCGGTCATAGCATCTTGATTCATATGTCGCATCTAATATACACAACGTTTGAAATAAGAAATAAGAATAATTTCCTTTCCCATTGAGTTGCGTCCCAGTGTTCATGGCGATGGACGTCTGTGTCTTCAGCAGGCGTAGAGCTAACAGAGCTGGCAGCGTTGCGAGGCAAGGGCTCAAACATGTACGGCTGTAAGCCTTCTACACCAAACCAAGCTTCTGACACCCTGGCGTCCTCTTCCACAACATCTTCATCCCCGCTTTCTTCCTCTAACTGAAAAATGTATGATGGAGGAGACTCATCCAAGACCTCTGACACAAAACTCTCCTCCTCTTGCTTGTTTCCGCTGTCCATAGCATTCCTTGACAGTGTTGTTTCTAAGTCACCAATTTAGTGCTACTTGGTCCCAATGGAATTTCCCATTGGGAACCTACTTGCTAACCAGTTAACAACTTAGTTGTTAACTGGTTAGCAAGATGCTTTCTGTAAACCGGCCACAACTAAACTTGCTTGCGAACCCTCCGCCACAACAATCCCGCCCCCTTGATAAACGACCAATCACATTCACTTTATTTACTCGTGTAAAGTCGTGCACCACTCAGGAGAATTCGGAAATGCAACTTTTGGAACAGATGTTTCCCTACGACTTTAAAGAATTGAAAATATGTCCAGCTTGATTAAAGTTAATTAAGCACTTTCATTGCAATTTGGAATGAAAGATTATTTGTTTGATTTGAAATGAGGACTTTTAACCAATGACCAACAATAAAATCCTTAGGAAAATATAGGACAAAACTTATTTAAACCCCATGTTCTTAATGTATCTGCCTACTGTATTCCGCAAAAAGGGACTCTCCCTCAAACTCCCAAATGAGCTTCACTATAATCTCAATCCTGTGGTTTTCCTTTTGCTCTTATTTCTTTCCTTATTTATTACTTTCAGTTAATTATTGAATACAGCGTCGTGAACAAGCAGCTTCCTCAGCCGTGGAAACACTGCAATCCTAAAAAAACGGGGGGAAAAACACCTAATCGAAACTTTAAATTGAAAAACGTGTTGTTGTTTTTTTAGGACTGCAGTGGAAACACTTTTTTTCGCATCACACGAGTCGAGTGATTTACAGATGGACATGGCTGTCTAATAGAAATACGAAGAAAAAGACCAGATTTACTGATAGGATGATGGCACCACTAAAGCATGGCTGAAATAGGGAAATATCTAATGTGTAATTACATCGATAAACATTCCCGTGCATTTTAGTTGTTTTTACTTAATGGAAATAACACAATTGCAAAACTTTTCATTTTCAAAACTAGCAGAATACCAACATAGTATTAAGCACATTTGTAATGGAAACTCAGCCAGTGACCGTCTTACTGACATCTGTCACATCAGGGGTTTTCCCTATCATTGTTTAGGCCATAAAATAAACATTTCTTCCATAAAGCTCATTTTCGTTGACCTTATGTGGCTTTCAGAGCTTCTTAGAAACAAAGTTATGACTTCCAACTACATGTGAGCCATAATCATCAATGTAAACAGAAATAAATGCTAAAAATGCAATGTTATGTGTAATAAGGTGATGATTTAAACTTTTTAAGCTGAATTACCAGAATAAATCTAATTTCAGATGTGCCGGCAGTCTCTTTCCATTTCAGTGTCTTCCTTACATGATAGTCGGGGCTATGCAGATAGTTGGAAGCTAAACTGATGCTGTGATTCGTTGCTGAATAGCCCTGAGTATCACATGCTAATCCGTTACCTAACAAACCTGTGAGTTTCTCGCTTAACTTGTCATATTTAACAGCATCACCTGCAGCAGCAGAGGGCTCATGATTCTCACAGCAGACTAAGAGTCTTCATGTCATTGCTTTATCTGTGCAAGCTGGGTGTCTTCTTTCTCACAAAAGCGTTTATCTGCTAAGATCACAGAGCGCGGTGCTTTGTTTCTCCCTGAACAGACACGTGAGCAGCAGCGACCGCGTTGGAAAGCCATATCGAGGGGTGAAGCCCGTCTTCAGCATCGGTGACGAAGAGGAGTATGACGACACAGGTAAGTAAAGGTTAAAACTGGGTGGAAAATCTATTTAAGGAATCAAATTGGCAGCATGTGTTTTATTCTTAACAGATGAGATTGACAGCTCTTCGATATCGGACGATGACCGTAAGGAGATTGTAAACATTCAGACGTGGATAAACAAGCCAGACATCAAACACCACATTCCCTGTAATGAAGTCAAAGAAACGGGTCACATGTTTCCCAGGTGAGCCCCATCAGCTGGCTCCTATGGAATTAAAACATCACAGCCTTTAAAGCAAAGAGAAATGACAAATCCTTTAACTCTTTGTGGGTTTTTTGTGTTTTTTCAGTCACTTGTTGATCACAGCGACTCACATGTACTGCCTTAGAGAGATTGCCTCCAGGAAAGGATTTGCTTACATCCAGTCCAGACAAGCACTGAGCTCAGTGGTGAAGATCACATCCAAAAAGAAACACCCAGAACTCATTACTTTCAAATTTGGGACCAACAACTCGGCTGGAGTGGAAATATCTGCAGTTGAGAGGTGAATCATGTGCAACTCTTTTATTCTGTTTTTTTTTTAATACAATTTAAATTAAACAACTCACTGAGACATCAAGATAAAAGTAGTACTACAAAACATGCAGTAAATAAAATTTTTGTCACTCACACTGAGCCTGGTTCTTTACACTGTCGCTACTGCTTGTAGCGACAGTGTAAAGTGTAGAGCTGATGTAGATATGACCAATCAGAGGTCTCCTGTCTGCGGTCACCCACAATTTTGGAGAGGCGCAACAGAGTTTCTGCAGAAGGGGCGGGGCACATTTGCATTCACTGCGACACATGCAGACGACCTGGTTTCTGAGCATAAATCAGCCTTTAGAGGTTAACAGGGTTCACACATGTAAAAAAATTTATAAATATAAAAATTTTTTTTTTAAAGCATTCACCCCCCATTGAGCATGACAGCAGGTAGGATTGTCTGTGACATACGTAGTTATTCAAAAAGTGACTTGGGCGTTTCTTGCATACATTACTGGTAGAATCGTCCACTATACCTTTTGAAGAAGTGAGGAAATAAGACTAGACTCGTTGCACCGTAAGCATCATTTTACAGTAACATTATGAAGCTCCCTAGAGTGACTTATTCTGTCAGAATAGTTTGTTGAAATGGCTTCCATGGCCAGGTGATGGAAGTGAGGGGAAGACATGATTTCTGTTTTGTTTGTTTTTTTTAGATGGCTAAGCAGAGCTTTTGGCAAACAGCTCATCTACCAGCTTTGCATATCCAGAGATTATTGCCAGAATTATTGCCATGACTTCTTTGCGAAGTTCCATCAAATTGGATGGGGAGCATCTGAATTTAGATTTTTCTTTTTTATTTAATTAAGATCAGGACTTTGACTAGGGCCATTCTAACACTTGAATGAAGCTTTTATTTCAACCAGCTTCCCTCTCTGAATAAAAGTATACCCACCATATCCTAAGATGTTGTCTTCACAGAGAGGTGGAGTGTTACTATTAACCAAGCTGTTTCATATTTATACACCTCCTTCCACATGTTGGCTAGGCCCCTACATGGGAGGTGGTATATAATCTTTGAATAACCGTTCTTTTCTTGGTTCTCTTCCATAAAGCAGTTAATTGTTCAACCACTGGTGACAACAGTGCTCCACATTTTCCATCTAAGCTGTCGATCTCTGGATCTCCTACTGTTACCATCACATTTTAATATGCCTGAGATCTTTTAATAAAATCTTTGTATTTTATTCAGGCAGTAAAGCCTAGGTCACATTAGTTGCATCCGATTTTTTTTTTTTTTCAATCTCCAATCAAATTAATTTTTTTCATGTTGCACTGACTGCATATAGATTGAGTGCAGGGTGAGCAGATCTGCGCAGTTTTCCCCCCACTTCTCTCTTTGTGCCTCTCAAATCGAAGCAATTTCCCACAACTGATAGGAACGGATTATTTGAGAAAAAAAACGACAGGCCATAAAGCAAAGCCCTGACTAAATGAGTCTGTCCAGCATCCCTTAAACCCATGAAATTCCTGCATAGTCCTACTAAAGGAGACCTGTGGTCTCAGAGTCATGCAAGCCCCCTGTAGGAAGTCGTGTCAGGCGTGATCATCCCCATTGACTTTCCATGAGCGCTAAACGCCACAACCTCGTACACCATTTTCTGTCGGATCCAACGTAAAATCTTACTTTGTGTTTTTATGGCTTAAGGTCTTGATACAAACATCATTCAGATCTATTCAGTAAAAACTGTTTAAATGTTTATATTTCCACCTGTTTGTTGTTCTGAAGGCTTTGACTCTAACCCTAATGTTTTCATTCCACCAGATATTTGATACCAAATGCAGGAGATGCCACAAAAGTCATCAAGCAGCAGATCATGAAGGTCTTAGATGCGCTGGAGAGCTCGTAAGTGGAGACCATCAGAGTCCCTAAGGGAGGTCTGGGTCACAGCTGATGACATAAACTGTAAGAGTCGCCGTCTCCTCCTGCTCTCCCATTGGATGTCCTCCATCCTGGACAGATCCCAGTGCAGTGTTCTACTCTGACGCCCCGTGTCTTCGTCTGGGACATCTGGACACATCGCCCAACAGTAGACCTGCGTCTAAGGCCGCCTGTGTTCAAAAAAATAGGTGCTCCAAAGTCGTCCAACCATTTACCTGTGACTAATTTATAAAATATTGGTTATGTTGTGTGTTGTTTCTAAGGGGAAACAGAGTCAGTGCAGTTTGGCTTTGATGTTGCTCTGGCCTTAACGTAGCACACTGGCCAACCAGTGGCAGACCTATAACAGACTCCAGCATCACAGCTCCTACTCTTTGGTTTTCTTTCAAGTGATTCTGCATTTTCCTTTACACACTAATTAAACTTATTGTCCTTCATTCCAGTAGAAACGCATCAGCTGAGCTTAGACGTAAAGATCTACGTCCTGATAAAGGAAAGGTGAAGCTGATGCATTAGTTTGTTTTTGTTAAGTTTTCTTCTTTTCCATCAGGTATAAGAATGAAATTATTCAAGGGTGTTGATTATATATTTAATGTATATACTTTGAGACATGCTCTGTCAAAACAAATTGACAAAATGGTTATGAAAGCATAGCCTTATTGACAGAATATAGGAAGAGTCTGGAACCATCTGGAGCTGTTTGAAACATCTCTTTGCTCCTGCAGTAAAAACGTTTTCTTTTGAGTGAATCTGATTTATTCACGGTTCTTAAATTTAGTTATGGATCGATTTCACCTCTTAGCAGTTTGATGTAGCTCTCAGAAAACAGCCTCCAGAGGCCCTTTGGGCCACATTAGGATCACTCAGTGATTGTAGTCAATGAGAAACTCAGATATTTACATTAAAAAAGTGTTTCTCTCCTTATGCTTACCTCCCCGACTCTCATAGGAAACATGTTGTGGTACAAAGGGCTGTGCTTCCCTCCCAGAAGGAATAAAATATTAACTAACTGGTTTGGTTTGCAGATTACTTTTTTTTTTTTTTTTTGTTGGTTAAGTCAGAAAACGGCTTCAGTTTGCTTGTGTCTGGCCTTATAAGGCTGGGATGTAATTTCAGACTCCAGTAGTGGCCACTTTACGTGGTAACATGCAGTTTATTTAGTTTTACATTTGCTCTTGCTTGCTTATGCATTTGCTTTACGGTTACCTGTGCAGGAAGCAGGGGTAGCCATCAGAGTGTAAATTTCAGTTCCTAGAGCGCTCTCTAAACTATTTATTTTTAATCACCATAATATAGACTAAAGACTCTTGAGAAATGATGAGAACGCTAAACTTGAATCAAAAGGTCTTGATCAGGTTTGTCTTTAGTCCGTTCTGTTCTTCTATTCATTCTTCTAGTCATTCATTGTGTTGTAATGTACATTACATCAGTTTTCAGTATTCCCGCTGACTGGAACATCCGTGATTTGGAGTCTTTCCATCACTCTGTAACATTAACAGGATGGCACCACTATATTGAAGTACATATAATTACTTTGCACCTTACTGTACTGCTTTTGTTTTTCTAAACATTTCCGTTTTTAATAAATGGAGATTATTGGACTGCAATTGTCTCTGTGTTTATTTAAAAGAAAATTAGGTCCCTACTAAAAAATGTATTGCTATCTTTTAGGACATCTCATAAGGTTTATAATGAGGTTAGATGGTGCAACTCTGTTACAGCCAATTCAACCTCAGTTGAGTTCTATTTCATTAGACAGATTTTGGCAATAATGTTTAAAGAGATTAGACTTCATTGATCAAAGTGGTGGAAGAGTTAACAGAAGTCCATTACCTGGTAAATATCTGATATGTAAAATATGAGTTTAGAAGACGAGAAGCTGCTTAAACTTCCCCTGCCCTCCTTGATTACTCAAAAAAAAAAAAAAAAAATCTATACGTGTCCATTTTTTTTTTCTGTCTCTTTTGCCTGTTATATCTAAAGATTTTGTATATTGCTTACGATTATTTCATTTTGGATGTTTCACCTGGTTTGCAACCTAGCTCTTCAAGTGATTCAGAGATGAATTAAGTTAAAATATAGATTGACAAATAAAAAATAAAAAAAAGATTACTTTTTAAGGCTAGTGGTAATATTTTCCATCTGGTTTACTGTTTTACTTAAATCCATTACCAATTAGTAGTGCTGTACATAAAACCTGATTGGCTACCTGATGACCACCCACCTGTGGCGTTCCTTTACCTCCGATTTTCACATTAAAAGGCCATAGTTTAACATCAGTTTATGTTTTGCTATAGATTTGATCGCTTTCAACTCAAACCACTATCTTTGTCTATTTTTTATTGAAAGTGTGTTTTTATTTTAAAAAGATACAAATAAAATGCTCGAAGGCATAAAAATAAGGAGGTAAAAATCTAATCTCAGCAAAACAAAGTTTGGCATGCTCTTATTTTGGAAGGTAAACCGTAACCCGGAAGCACTCGTTGGTTCGGGTCCTGAACCAAACAAAACAGTTCTGCACTCATGAACGCCGTGACTAAAGCGATGTCGAGTAAGTATGTCTTTAGTTTTTGTTTTTATTGTTTTTTTTTTTTTATTTGAGTATTCTCCGAGTTTAGTTCCTGTATATTAAAGTCCTCAGTAGTTGTACTCATTCGGTAAAGTCTCTGTAAAAACAGTGACGGTGTTGTTCCAGGGTTCCGCCTGGCTGTGGTCCAGCTGCAGGTGAGCAGCCTTAAGGCGGACAACCTGAGCAGAGTCCGGAGGCTGGTGAAGGAGGCAGCGGGACAGGACAGCCAGGTGGTGCTGCTGCCGGTAAGGAGCTTCACCCTTCTGCTTTACTCACTACAGAACCTTCAAAGAGTCATGTTCTCAATCTTAGTTTGTGACTTTGACTAGGCCATTGTGCAAGTCTAAAATATTTTTCAGCCTTTAACGGGGTTTATTCTTTCTTTTTTATTAGTCTTGTATTTAGCTGCTTCCATTTATCAGTGTTTATATAAGGCATCCCCAGACCAAGATGCTGCCGCCACCGTGCTTCACCACAGGGATGATATTTTTGCTGTGTTCCTTACATGATCTGTGGAAAGCTGAACTGGGGCTTCTCATGGCTTTTTTCTTAGCACTCTTTCAAAAGCACCAGATTTATACCAGTTTAATGTTTGTCCGGGGAAAAGATTGGTCCACCTTAGCTGCAGCCATAACCTTTCTCCGCAGCTTAACTGAGTCTTTGTTTGATCTTTTATTAATTAGTTGTTAGGTTTTATACAGGATGTCTCTGTAGTCACATAGGGCAGGGGTCTTCAAAGATTTCCAGGCCAAGGACCCCCAAACAGATGGCAAGATGGAGCAGGGACCCCCTAATTATATATATTGTATGAAATAGTGTTATATCAAACTGGTCCTATAGTCACTCTATTACAGATGGAGTAATGTAACTAAAGTAATTTCTCCCTGGGATTATTAAAGAATTTCTGATTCTGATTCCTGGTTGATGGGACAGGTATTGTGAATGAAACGGCGTCCAGCGTAAATATAAATTTTACTGCTAAGCTGCTACTCATTCACCATCTGTACAAAACTTATTAAACTGAAATTTTGTATACAATCTGTGTATACAAAATGACAATAAAAGTTGTCTAAGTCTAATGAATATCTGATCTGTCTTAGTGATTTATTTTAAAAACTATAGATATTGTGGATGTTTGTTTTCCTGTTGACCTTTCAGTTTTCAGCCACACCTCAGTGCAGATTGGCCCCTGCCTGACCACCCCTATTAACATTTCCTGAAACCGCCACTGATCAGGCACCATGCTGATATGGCCACCCCCAGTAAAGAATCTTAGAACTGCCACTGTCTGTGTCGTTACACATCGTGTCTACATGCGGTTATAGGTAATGGAGTAAGATTTGACCCTCATAGTTTTTCTCCTCACTCTGAACCAGGAATGCTTCAACTCTCCCTATGGAACGAGCTTCTTCTCCACCTATGCTGAGAGGATCCCCGGGGAATCCACCCAGGTGCTCTCTGAGGTAGCAAAGGAGAATAAGCTGTATCTAGTGGGAGGTAGGGACTCACCTGGGGCTTCAGTCACCCTTTAAAAACATCCCTTGTGTCTGTCTTGTTGGAATCCAATAAGTTTTACTTTAGAAGGGACTTAATTGTTTATAATTTGGTGGATTTTTAACAACCTTCTCCTCATATTTCTAACAACTTAACATCTGTAAGCTATTAAAACCAATATTGTGAATCTGCATGGTCCACCGAGCCTCTTTCACAGTCTGTGTATATTTATTACCTATTTATTCTTAGCAACTTAAGATAGAAAAACACAATTTTTTATTCAGTTTTAAGAAGTTAACTTATATTAATCTGTACTCGGTCCCCTTTTAACCCGATTCCCTTAAATAAAGTATTGTGTTTCTAGTTACCATCAGAAGTTACCTAATTATAGGAGACCAAAAAATGGTCTGCAGCTGCATGAGTGGATCAGGAACCTAATACAGGGTTTCCTCGGGTCATTAAAAATCATTAAAAGTCATTAAATTGTTATTTTTCGAATTAAGGCCGTAATTTGCATTAAAATTCATTAAATGTGATTATCGTGGCATTTAAAATGCTTTTTTTTAAAAAACTTTTTTAAAAACAATTTCCTCAGATATTATATATCCCAATATATTTGCACAGAGAAAAAGCTAGAGAACAGGAAAATACATTTTTCAACAAAAGTGGCTGGAAAAAGAGGAATCTGGGACAGGCTGCAGCCTGTCGATGGTAAAGGTGACAAAGGATTTTGTTCTGTTTTTTTATATATATATGAGAGTAATGGGTACTTGTTGATGCCATTAAAATTATGGGCATTAAAAGAGCATTCAATTAGAGTTACTCGTTCCTGTATAAACCCTGTAAAAGTACAGTATGTTCCTCCTCTAGGTGCATTTCAAAATAAAACACTGAATAAAATTAGGCAGGTGTAACCAATTAAAAATCAGTGGGGTTCGAATAAAGGAAATCATCAACCAGTAAAGGTCCAGAAACACCTGAGCTGACTGTTTTGTTTTTCTTTTTTCTGTCTTAATGTTCGCAGTGGGCTTTATGCTGCCCTTCAAGGCTTTAAACCTGGCTTTGAATGGAGACAAAGCCATTCTAAAGCACATATCAAGGTGCTCACTTTGAGCCTGGATCTACATTTGTTTTTGATTCTGTTCATGGTGGAGAATCCTGCTTCACAGCAGCAGGTTGAGCCAAATATACTCAAAATGTTCAGGGTCATCTTTGAGCACACCATTTCACTTTTCTTTCACCAGTTCACCACAGTTCTTCCAGCAGTCCACACTTTCTCTGCTCTCTTTTTCTCATCGTCTCCTCCTTCTTTCCCATCGCCCGGCTTGCCACAGGTTTGCCTGCTGGGTCTAAAAGTAGCAGCAGCAGCAACCCAGACTGACAGCAGCTCATTGGCTAATTTGTATCACATGTAGCCTGGTCCGCTAACTCTTGACCTTTGGTTTTGGGTGAAGTGGCGAGCCATCTTATGGTAGGATAAAATAAAACTACACAAAATGAATAGACATCAAATAGAAATGAAATGTGTTGGCCTAGTGGGTAAGGGCGGTGAGCTTGTGCTCTGAGAAGGTTGCAAGTACCCGGTTTGACCCCCACAGCCTCCATTCTGGGTTACTGAGCAAAACCCTTAACCCCACACTGCTCCCCTGGTGCCACACAATGACAGCCAACTGCTCCCAAAGGGGATGTGTCAAATGCAGAGAGTGAACTTCCCCACTGTGGGAGAGTAAATGGATTTACATTTTTCTTTACATATATATTAATAAACTACATTTATTCTTCACTTGGGATAAGGGATGCTGCCATCTAGAGGATTTTTTTTAAGGTAAAATCCAACATAAAGAGGAAAAGTAATTTCCTTTCACTGCTAAAGTAACTTAAAAAATGAATTGCATCATTTTCTTTATGACTGTAAATTACCAGAAAAAATAAAATAAGAGAAAATAGTTTAGAACTGATCAGAATGTTAAAACTACTCTTTAACAAAAAAATAAAACACCCTTAATTATCTGTTAAAATAATATCTCATCATCACCAGATTTCAATCAGATTTGAATAGAATAGAAACTGAATGAATCAGATAACTGGTAGGCGGAGTCAGCTTGAATACCTCAAAGTGAAAATTAAAACAAGCCAAACATATTTCTACTTTTTTTTGTTTTGTTTGTTTTATTTTAATCTGGTGGATGACAGCATCACTTTTCTTGTTAAACAGGATCCATCCCTGAGGAGGATTGTGGGAAGCTGTATAACAGCTGTGCCGTGTTTGGACCTGACGGAGAGATGATTCTCAAACACAGGAAGGTTTGTGTGTTCCTCAAACCTGCTCAGCCACATCAGAGGGGCTACAGAGTGTGCTTCACCCCGCCACCTTCTGCTTCACCCTCCAGATTCACCTGTTTGACATTGATGTTCCAGGAAAAATCCGCTTCCAGGAGTCTGAGACGCTGAGCCCTGGAAACACTCTGTCCATGTTTGACACACGTGAGTCACAGATGGAGGTTCATCCTGTGAGCCGGATCATCTCCAAGTTCACCTTTTTATTTTTTCCCCTTATATCCGCAAACATTAATGTGTTTTATTTGGATTTTATGTGATTGTCCAACATAGAGAAGTACAAAAAGATCCATGATTTTCACAAATTTAATAAATATAGCCCCCCTTATACCGTTAAAATTCTCACATAAGATTCAGTGCAAAACATTTTAATCAGATGCAAAATAATTATTGAGTGTTTATTATTAGTGTTATTTAATCTCAGTAAAACCTTGTCTATAAACACTTAGGTTTTTTATAGAACACAAGAGGAAAAAAGAGAATCATAAAGATGAAGATCTTAGGATGTTACTGAAACCCATCTAGGGACAAGTTCTACAAATGTGTTTCTGCCAGAAGCTCTAAGATGCAGACATCAGAATTCTGTAAAACCACTTGTCTGTGTTGTTGTATCTGTCCATATCTAATAAACTGAATGAAAAAAAAAAAAGGAAAAAAGGAGACGGGGATAACATCTGAGTGAGATATAGAGCAGAGGTTTTTAAAGAGAGTGGAAGAGTCTTCCTCCTCTCAAAGAGCAAATCCAAAACTAGATAAATTGATTTGTGATTACTGCAATCAATTTGCTGCGATTTTTAACGGTGAAGAGATTCTGAGTGCTTGTAGATACATTAAGACCGTCAGAAATAACAATAGTTGCATAATATAAATAAATATAAAGAAAACATCTATGCAGGCTGGCCTGGTACAAAGTAATGCTGCGGGACGGCAGACAATCTTTACACAATTAAACCTTGATTGAACTAAGCCTGCTTATGTTTAATATGTTTGCAGCTGTATTAAAGCAGGCAGTCTTTAGGGGTGGGTCAATCGACAGACATATATAACAGTCGTCTCTTATGTTTCATTTTTTTATATCTAGTTTTTTAAATGATTTTATAATGTTACATTAGTTTGAAGCACTTAGAGATAGATTACCTATTTAAAGTGCTCTACAGGGTTTCCGCTGGTCATTAAAAGTCATTAAATTAAAAATTTTTTAATTAAGGCCTGAATTGGCATTAAATTCATAAAATGTGATTATTGTAGTATTTAAAATGCTTTGTTTAAAAAAAATAAAAGTTTACGAAAACAATTTCGTCAGATATATCGCGATATATTTGCGCCGAACTTCCCGTCAATCGTAAAGTCGTATGTTTAAGAAAGAAGCTCGAGGTGGGGAAAAAGCAAAAAGGGGCAGGAAATTGAGTAATTTGGGACGTGGCAGCAGCTTGTCGACGGTAAAGATGATGAAGGATTTTACCGTGTATATATGAGAGTTATGGGTATTTGTTGATGGCATTAAAATAATTTCTAAGGGCATTAAAAAGCATTAAATTAGAGTTACTCAGTCCTGTATAAAGCCTGGCTCTATAAATATTATATAAATTTAATATAATATTTTATATAATATTTATATAATATTATATAAATTTATAGCAAATTATTTTTATTCTTATAATAACATAACTTCCAACTACATGGCAGCAATATTTAAATATCACCCTCAATATTACAGATTGTTGTATTTATTTAAAAAATAAAGCATGTGTGATTTAGTGCCTCTTATTTGGACTCCCTGAAGATCAGTCCCTTGGTGTCATCCAATGTTCTGCATATTTTACTGTTGTGTTATTTATTTTTAGGAGTTTTCCAATTTCCAAATTGTTGTCTTCAAACTGCGTGAATGAGACAACCTCTCCCGCTCTTTCCAAATGCAACCATGATTTTCATATAAATGTAGAGCTGTGAGATGTTGCAACCCCACAGAATACATACAGATAACCAAATCCTCCCCCTTTCACCAACATTGGATGTAAATGCACTTTAACTTTTTATTTTTGTTCTTTCAAGCACACATACAGCTATCTAATTAAATTGAAAGGTCTGTATTTAACAAAAGCTTTAAATATATCTGCTGGAAAAGTGCTGAACTGTTGCAAACTGTAGAGCAGAGATCGTATTCTCACTTATATTCATATATGTAATCACAGTTTGTTTGTTTTATTAAACTGCCAAACAACAGCTTTTAACATCTTATACAGATAAGAAACAGGTTAAGTTCAGAAATATATTTAATAGTAGCACCGTTGGTCATTTTTTTATCCGTTTTCTTCATCGATATGTAGTTGTACTGAGTGACTCATGTCAGATTAACAGCAAGGAGGTCCACATCTCAGCATCTATGTGCTTTTTCATAAAACACTAGTGTTATTTTGGTTCAAGTTTCCCCACAGATCAGCATTTCCTCTGTTTGTTTTTTATCAATGTTGATGCAAAAAACAACAGCTTTTATACAGGGGGACAAAAAAATGTACTCTGGTCTGATAAGACCGAAATTGAGCCTTTTTAGCCAACATGCAGAGCAGTACGTGTGTTAAGAAAACTAAACACTGAACATTACCCTGAACACACTGTCTCAGTATGAACAGGGAGTGGATGGATAGAGAGATCCAGGATATTACTGGAATAAAACCTGTAAAGAGGCTGCAGACTTTAGATCGGGGTGAAGGTTCAACTCCCAGCAAGAAAAGGAGCCTTAACTTAAAGCCTGAGCTATAATGGATAGTTTAGATAAATGTCTGTCGGTGTTAGAATGGTTTTATTTAAAACCAAACTAAGAATTGTTTTCAATAAGAAAGAAGGGTTTGGTCTTATAAAATGCAAGGATGTTTGGTTGCAACGTGAAAAAATAATGAAAAGTGATTTGTTTATATTTTTCTCCCCTCTTCCCTCTCTTGGTTGTCGCAGCATTCTGTAAAGTGGGTGTGGGGATCTGCTATGACATTAGGTTTGCGGAGCTTGCTCAGCTCTACAGCAGAAAAGGTGAGCAGCTGAAAATCAGGGAATTTAACCGTTGGATAGAGCAGCTAAAGAACATGTTATGCACTCAGGCTGTCAGCTGCTGGTTTACCCCGGAGCCTTCAACATGACGACGGGCCCCGCTCACTGGGAGCTGCTGCAGAGGGGAAGGTTAGACTTCCTGCTGATACACATGATGCATAGTGATTTTCTGCTTCTATTTGTTCTTATATGGCTCCATATTTCATTATTTAGTCAAAGTTCCTCGTTCATGTCTGTGTGTGTTGCAGGGCCGTTGATAACCAGGTATATGTGGCCACAGCATCACCTGCTAGAGATGAGGCTGCCTCCTACGTGGCCTGGGGTCACAGCACCGTCGTTAACCCTTGGTAAAATAAAAAGAAACTAAAGAAAAATCAACTGAGATGTTAACTTGTAAAGAAAAAAGACAAATAGTCACCATTAGTTTGAATATTTAAACCGATCTGAGAGTGCTCAGGGTTTTTGTTTGTTTCAGGGGAGAGGTCGTCGCCAAGGCGGGGCCGGAGGAAACCGTCATCTATGCTGATATCGGTGAGTGTTTGAGGTTTTCCTTCTGTCTGCAGCTGTGAAGGAGCTCTGGTAAAACTATGGAAAAGTTTGGAATTTGATATCAGGATTTTCCAGGGCTGAATAAAAATTGAATTAAAAAAATAAAATATGGAAGATCATTTTTTCCCCCGTTTATGAGTTGCCTATTTCACTACATCTCCTTTTGTATTTCCTTCTATCATACCCCTTTTCCGTGAACTTTACAGTTTTCTGGTGAACTGTAAAGTGCCTTGAGATGACGTGTTGTGAATTGGCGCTATAGAAATGAACTGAATTGAACTTTCTGTAATTCCAGATAAAAACCCTTAGGTTTGGTTGAACTGTTACCATGTTGATATTCTGTCTTTTCTCTCTGTGCATGTGCCACCGGACCCGACTCCAGACCTGCAGTACCTGGCTGACATCCGGCAGCAGATCCCAATCACATCTCAGCGTCGGGACGACCTCTACGCTGTAACGTCGCTGCAGCAGTGATCGAGCTGACCTCTCCAAATGGGATAATTTTTCTCCAAATATCAATCAAACTAAATAGTCCTGATAATTTTCATCAAGGAATAGGATATTTAGTATTTAGTCCTTGGTGGAGTTAATGAGTGAGCGGTTCTGCGTTTTGCTGCAGCGCTAAAGGGAAGCTCTAGTTGGTTCCAGTTTAGGACTGATCTTCATATGAAGGAAGGAAGGCGTTCCAGATATTATAGGAGTTCATTGACTTCAGTCTGTTGCCCTCCATTATTTCTGCCATGTGAACCAATTTAATGTCAGATTGCTAAATTTCCAATTGGATGAGAAACTGAATGCTTTAATGTAACGAGTCAAATCCTTGTTTTTTTCACCACCCAGCTGCAGTTTTACATGTTGGAATTTTTGTTGTGGAATTAGAATAAATCCAATTTTTCCTAAATTATGTTGAATAACACAAGAGAAATAAACGACAGAGATGCACTTTAACTGTTTGCTTCTGTGTAGTTAAGAAAACGCATTTAGTTTGCACAACACCACCATTTAGGTGTGATCGTTACTCATGACACTAAATGAGAAAAAAAATTTTTTAGAAAATAATTATTTTCTGCTTGTTTCATAAAAGGGGAAAAATAATTCTGTTCAAGTGAAACAATCACTTTCCTGTCATGATTGAGCTCAAAAAGAAAGATAAAGTCAGTTGAAATAATTTATAAACTTTATAAATGTCAGAAAATAATCCTGCAAATGTTTTTCCTTTTATACATTTTGTCATAGAACAAAGATTTATAATAGAACTTTAAAAAGAAATGACTTAAAGCGTTATGTGAAAATAGCACCTTTTAAGAGAACAGATATTTAAAAGTGCTTTACAAGGAAAAAACAAATAAAGCCATACATACAAACAACTGTAGGAGATTCAAAAATAAAAAGAAAGCAAAAAAAAAAAATTTAGATCCTCTGAAATACATATAGGTGTGTTCAAACTATTAGCCATACAAAGCTAGCACCTGCTTTGAATAAAAAATATATTTCTACACACATTACTAATAGATGTAGTATAGTGCATTTCTAGCAGAGGAAAATGGGTCCTTCCATGTGCCGTTTAGAAGAACAGCCTACTAAAAGTTAACAGATGAAAGTAAAACCTGTAGGTAGACAGATTTTACCACCTCCCTGCAGCACCTCCATGACCCATGAGAGGAAAACATTAAAGGCCACTTAGAAAATGTAAACCTCAGACATGGGCAATGTGGAGTCAGCAAGTCATCTCCATGTCATGTATTTAATCTACCCAGCCAATTAACCAGGTGAGTCCAATCTGCACAGGTTAATTCACGGTGAAGATTGGACTCACCTGCTTCAGTGGCTGGGTAGAACAAATACATGACATGGAGATGACTTGTTGACTCCACATTGCCCATGTCTGGTAAACCTAGACTGGAAAGGTGGTGGCCTAGAGGTTAGGGCATTGTGCTTTGGTCCAGGAGGTTCTGAGTTCAAGCCCCACTCCCACTGACTGCCACTCTGGCTCCCTGAGCAAGACCCTTAACCCAACACTGCTCCCTGGGTGCTGCACAATGGCAGCCCACTGCTCCCCAAGGGGATGGGTTATAAAACGTGTGAATTTCTCCAGTGTGAGATCAATAAAGTTTGATGTGAAAAAGAAAATCTGCTGTTCCAGTGGATGAAACGGTAATCAAAACAACAGTCTGTGATCACCTCCATTTGGTTGGAGAGGGTCTAGTGTTACCTATAAGCAGTGTTGTGTCTGAACGCGTTCATTGAACGAAAGTTCATGAACTCGTTCATATTTTGGCCGAACGTGAACTGAACGTACTGCATTACTGCCTGATGAACGTTATTGTGAACTCGTCGTAGCCTACAGCTGCGTGCGTCATCAAAACAAAA